GGTACTTTTTGAAGAAAACAAGCAGTGAGAAGGTCTAAATATTAAAAAGGTGAGAAAAATGTGTTCAATCCGTACAGATGTATACAGGTGTCTCATTATATCGCGGTACTTAAAACTTTTGCATAAAAAAGTGTAATTCGATATTTTAAATTTAACTTTCATCAAATGATATTTATAAACCAACCTATGGCCTAAATTTTTAGTATCAAATTATTTCCCAAACCTCCTAAATCGCAGAGTCTCATAGTATCGCGGTATAGGAAAACATGGAAACTTGACGTTGACATAGACTTCAATTCTTATTTTTATAATATTACCATGTAATTTTACATAAGAAAATAAACAAGTATACGAACTAAGGACTTTCAAAACATGAACTTTATATGGATTTCACTAGATTATAAACTCAGTGGGCTAAAAATAATAATGAATTTCAGAAAAATTACGTTTTATTTGAATAATTTTTTCCCGACGCATGTTCCACACTTTTTAATCATCACAAAAACTTACATTGAGATGAGAATCGGAAAGTGTTTTCAACACTCGAGAATCGAGTATACTATGTGCATGGTGTTTTCGTGTTATCCAGTTTTAATTCAAGTATGAATCATAACCTTTACATTTCAAATTCATTATCCGAACACGGTGTATAAATGCACAGTGCATACCCAGATTTATTCATAAAGCTGCTTAAGTATATTATTTAAATTTAAACTGGTCAAGTGTTGTTGGCATATTTTTTCATCTAGTTATTGACATTATTGAGTTCTATTCAAAATATTGTTGAATAATCGGGAAAATTTCATAATCGATAATCGATCGAAATCGGAGAGGCTTAATCGATCAATGATCAATTAATTGGAAATTCAAATTTCAAGTACAAAATTCCATGTTTTTATAGCATTTATCATTTATGGAACAAACTAACAATAAAATTTTATTAAGTTTATTCCGAAGACAACTTTTTGTTGTACAAGTAACAAAGAAACAAAAATTTTTTAAACATATTTGCTCATAAAAAGTGATTAAAAACTAAAAATGTGTGACAATGACTAGATTAACAGTAAAGTAAGCACATGATCTACCAAATTACCAATACTTGATGTTTTTGATTAAAAAAATAAAGAGATCCACGTTATTGTGGCTTAATCTGCATCGCTTTTTGGAAACAATTTGTCCCCCAAGGCTGAAGACCCTTTCCGATGATACGGAGGAAGCAGGAATAGCCAGAAACTTTTTGGCCAGTATGGAAAGTCGTGGGAAAAATACAGCATTCTTTTCCCACCATTCTAAGATGGTTAAATTGTGATCTTCAATCTCAACCTGACAACCGATATATCTTTCAAGTTCTTTTTCTGCTACATTTTCCACATACTTACTCTCTCCAGTACATACTACATCCTCCAGCCAGTCATCATTGTCCACTGACTTCATTTTTTTTTGCAGTTGATGGTTGATAAAGATCTTCCACTCTGTTTGACTCACTTGCAGTATTCTCCTCAGTGTTCTCATCAGGTAAATTTGGAAGTGCAGGAAGTGGTGGAACATCAGTATCTTTCTCTGCTCCTTTAGGTGCCTCTTTCTCTTTCTTTACTAGTGTAATTCCACAGACAAATCCTCTAAGAAGACTATGTGCTCTTTCCCTCTCTTCAGGTGCAAAGTCCAGTCCTTTCGTAAAAGGATTCAGTAAACAAGCCAAGAGAGAAATATCCTCTGACTGCGTTCTTTTATTCAATTTTGCCTGCATCTTTTGTTTAATCTTTTTGATTACTGCCGAGTCCTCATCTGATATCTCAGTTGCCCGCATAAGTTTTGTAACGATTGGAAGGACCTTCTGCATGGTAGGGTGTTGATCTGCACAAACTATTGTGGTGGCTTTTTCAAAGGGTAACAGAATTTTAACCAAATGTTTAACCATGGTCAATTCTTAAAAATTGAAATCGGAGTTCTTAAGAGTTGTGCTGGCATGTTTAGGTAAGGAAGGGTCGTTAGCCAAAGCCATAAGTACTGCTGCTTGTTCTAGGAGACGTTGTAGCATATACAGGGTAGAATTCCACCTAGTTGCCACATCAATCAAAAGCCTGTGCCCTACTTTACTGTCACTGAAGAGAAGCTTCTGTTTATCATGCAGCATAGATGTCATGCTACTGGATTTATGAAAAAACCCTACAAGTGTTCTGGCCTTCCCTAATACTCTGCTAACCTCAGGAAATGTAAGAGAATTTTTCACTACCAATTGATCCTGTGGCCATAGCAGCCAAATCTATTCCAATCCAATATTTCATAGGCTTTTTGTTCGTTTGCAGCATTGTCTGACATTGCTGTTGGCACTGGAAGGGACCAACGGTCCTGAGTATTTTTAAGTTCATTTGCAATGTTTTGTGAAGTATGACTTCCTGCAAGTTTTATGGTACCTAAAACAGCACTTTGAAGGCACCAATCATTGTCAATAAAATGTGCAGTTGTTGTGTAATAAGATTCTGTATTTAGGCTTGTCCAGCCATCATGTGTAATGGAAATGTCTGTGGAAAGTCTCAACTGGGTTTTTAGTTGTTCTTCTACTTTCAACTTTTTTCTTCTAATCGTTTGATGACAGTTGGCCTTGAAGGTACCTTGTATCTAAAATATGAAATAACCATATAAAAAATCTTACTTACATACATCTGCCATATGTTATCTCAAACTTTTTAAAATTTTATTTTTATAGTATTTTTTGTAGCTTTATTTGAAATGAGTTTATTTACATCATATATTTTTGAGATATTTATTATATAATGTCACTACTGTACAACCATTTTTGATTTATTTTCCTATACATCTATTTATGAATATTTTACAATCAAGACTGTTTAACTGCTGTTTAAGTCTGCATTCTAATATTTCTATAACATAACACACAAATACACACCTTGGATCTAGGAGTTCCACAAATGCTCTGAAGTAGATGTTGTCGACTATGCTCACAGGTAAAGCCTTGCCAATGATCAACTTATTCAAGGCATCATCAATCGTTTACTGTCTTTCTGGGCTTATTTTTCCGACAGGTTTGTTAGATTTAACGAAGTTATCAAGACGAGGCTGGATATTGGATTTTATTTTCGGTTCTAATTCACCGCCATGTTACTGTCAATGTGCACTCTAAAGTTTGTCGTGTTTCCTAAAAACCACAAGTTTTATCCTTAGTAATAGAAGGCTAGTACATTATATTCCAAATATTTGTTAATTGTCTATAAAGAAATCGTTCCGTTTAGAATTAAATTCTAAATGGAGACCCACCTTTGTTCGCATATTTTTTTTTTGCATACACGACAAATCGCTGTTGTCATATCCAAATTAGCTTTTATCGGCGGCCCATCAGTCTTTTCAAGAAATCCGAAATACTTCCATACAACAGATTTTGTATTCCCTGGATATGGGAAAATTTCTAGTTCTACTTGAAGTTGGTTGTTGTTAACTTCGGACGCCATTTTGAGTTGACCTCGTTTTACGTTTATTGTTAATGCGTACGTATTGGTTTCGTTCAATTCGTACACGTTTATTTGGACGACAATCGATTATGAAAAACGTAATCGATAATCGGAATCGAACACCCAAAAACGATCGACAATCGATCGTCGGGGACAAACGTTTCATCACTAATTCAAAATAAACTTTTTGAACTTGAATCATATTCCAGCATGCCGAGACTTGTCATCAAAGGAACAAATTGCACCTCATTCACACTTGTATGTGATGAGCATGTGAAAAACCAAATACTGTCTCCAGATATAGGTAAATACACCTGAATAATTGTACCCCAAATAAGATTATAAAGTATTTATATGTTCATCTGAAAAAAAAATAGATATGTGATTTTTTCCTTAATTTGAGTGCAAAGAATTTTTCAGTCTGGACGTACTGTTTTTTAAAAAAATTATTATGACTCCCCTGAATGTTTTTTTAGGAAGCAAAACTCAAACATAAAACTATTGTTCATATTTTCAGGAACTTATATACTATGTACATAGTTTATATGTCCCTGATATTTTGTTAATTTATGTATTGTAATTTTTTGACAACTTGAATGATTTGGATAAAATCTCAACATGTAAATGTACTAAAAAGAACTTATATTTTAGATCCAGCATTGAAAGACATGGTCGTTAAAATGCTCTTTGAAAATCAGAAGCCTGTTCCACAATTCCAAAGACCACCCCCTCCTGCTCCTCCACCATTCAGTCAGTCAGAAGAAACTGATTTCCCCTCTACATCAGAGTCAGTCCCCTCTACATCAAAGTCAGCGCCCTCTACATCAGAGTCAGTCCCCTCTACATCAAAGCCAGTCCCCTCTACATCAGAGTCAGCGCCCTCTACATCAGAGTCAGTCCCCTCTACATCAGAGTCAGCCCACTCTACATCAGAGTCAGTCCCCTCTACATCAAAGTCAGCCCACTCTACATCAGAGTCAGCCCACTTTACGTCAGAGTCAGTCCCCTCTACATCAAAGTCAGTCCCCTCTACATCAGAGTCAGCCCTATCTACATCAGAGTCAGCCCACTCTACATCAGAGTCAGTCCCCTCTACATCAGAGTCAGTCCCCTCTACATCAGAATTAGCCCACTCTACATCAGAGTCAGCCCACTCTACATCAGAGTCAGCCCACTCTACAACAAAGTCAGTCCACTCTACATCAGATTCAGCCCACTCTACATCAGAGTCAGCCCACTCTACTTCAGAGTCAGTCCCCTCTACATCAAAGCCAGTCCCCTCTACATCAGAGTCAGTCCCCTCTACATCAAAGTCAGTCCCCTCTACATCAGAGTCAGCCCACTCTACATCAGAGTCAGCCCACTCTACATCAGAGTCAGCCCACTCTACATCAGAGTCAGCCCACTCTACATCAGTCAGTCCCCTTTACATCAAAGTCAGCGCCCTCTACATCAAAGTCAGTGCCCTCTACATCAAAGTCAGCGCCCTTTACATCAGAGTCAGTCCCTTCTACATCAGAGTCAGTCCCCTCTACATCAAAGTCAGCCCACTCTACATCAGAGTCAGTCCCCTCTACATCAAAGTCAGCCCACTCTACATCAGAGTCAGTCCCCTCTACATCAAAGTCAGTCCCATCAACATCAGAGTCAGCCCACTCTACATCAGAGTCAGCCCACTCTACGTCAGAGTCAGCCCACTCTACATCAGAGTCAGCCCACTCTACGTCAGAGTCAGCGCCCTCTACATCAGAGTCAGCCCACTCTACATCAGAGCCAGTCCCCTCTACATCAAAGTCAGCCTCCTCTACATCAAAGTCAGCGCCCTCTACATCAGAGTCAGTCCCCTCTACATCAAAGTCAGCGCCCTCTACATCAGAGTCAGTCCCCTCTACATCAGAGTCAGCGCCCTCTACATCAGAGTCAGTCCCCTCTACATCAGAGTCAGCCCACTCTACATCAGAGTCAGTCCCCTCTACATCAAAGTCAGCCCACTCTACATCAGAGTCAGCCCACTTTACGTCAGAGTCAGTCCCCTCTACATCAAAGTCAGTCCCCTCTACATCAGAGTCAGCCCACTCTACATCAGAGTCAGCCCACTCTACATCAGAGTCAGTCCCCTCTACATCAGAGTCAGTCCCCTCTACATCAGAATTAGCCCACTCTACATCAGAGTCAGCCCACTCTACATCAGAGTCAGCCAACTCTACATCAGAGTCAGTCCCCTCTACATCAGAGTCAGTCCCCTCTACATCAGAATTAGCCCACTCTACATCAGAGTCAGCCCACTCTACATCAGAGTCAGCCCACTCTACATCAAAGTCAGTCCACTCTACATCAGATTCAGCCCACTCTACATCAGAGTCAGCCCACTCTACTTCAGAGTCAGTCCCCTCTACATCAAAGCCAGTCCCCTCTACATCAGAGTCAGTCCCCTCTACATCAAAGTCAGTCCCCTCTACATCAGAGTCAGCCCACTCTACATCAGAGTCAGCCCACTCTACATCAGAGTCAGCCCACTCTACATCAGAGTCAGCCCACTCTACATCAGTCAGTCCCCTTTACATCAAAGTCAGCGCCCTCTACATCAAAGTCAGTGCCCTCTACATCAAAGTCAGCGCCCTTTACATCAGAGTCAGTCCCTTCTACATCAGAGTCAGTCCCCTCTACATCAAAGTCAGCCCACTCTACATCAGAGTCAGTCCCCTCTACATCAAAGTCAGCCCACTCTACATCAGAGTCAGTCCCCTCTACATCAAAGTCAGTCCCATCAACATCAGAGTCAGCCCACTCTACATCAGAGTCAGCCCACTCTACGTCAGAGTCAGCCCACTCTACATCAGAGTCAGCCCACTCTACGTCAGAGTCAGCGCCCTCTACATCAGAGTCAGCCCACTCTACATCAGAGCCAGTCCCCTCTACATCAAAGTCAGCCTCCTCTACATCAAAGTCAGCGCCCTCTACATCAGAGTCAGTCCCCTCTACATCAAAGTCAGCGCCCTCTACATCAGAGTCAGTCCCCTCTACATCAGAGTCAGCGCCCTCTACATCAGAGTCAGTCCCCTCTACATCAGAGTCAGCGCCCTCTACACCACAGTCAGTCCCCTTTACATCAGAGTCAGTCCCCTCTACATCAGAGTCAGTACCTGGGTATGTGCATTCGTAGAATGATAAAGAAGAAGATATGTTGGTCCACTTACGGCATGAGCGGCAGGATCTGTTTTTAAAAACGAGGAACCATAGCATTTTATGGCAGGAAATTGCATACGAGCTCTCCACCGTATTTAAAAAAGAGGTGGAAAGAAATCAAAGATGCAGGGACAGGAACAGAGAGAAAAGACTTTCGATTGGAAGAGGAATTCGATTTGGTTTTGGCACTAAACCATCCGCAAAACCCTGTACAACACTTCACAGTAGCATTGCTATAACTAGTGATGATACCTCCCCAGAAGAAAGCCCTAGCAAATCAGCGAGGTCTTCCCGGAAAATTCACCCAAAACGTGTTAAAATCCTCCCCCCAAAAAGGAAATTGCAGACATCTAAGGTATTGGAAGATTTATCAAACAGTGAAAAAGATTTTTGGATCTGTTTGAGAGAAGTCTTGAGAAGAAATAGATACATTTGGATATTTTCTTACTGAGAATTTGAAGTAATAAAACTTAGGGGAAAAATTTGTGTATGGAAATATTTTGAGCTGAAAAAAAATTATGTTCAGCTGAATTTATGTTTTACATTTTGTTTTTATGGACAATAATGATAAATTTCATGTTCATTATTTTTTTTTGTTTCACACCTAATAGGTTCATGCAATGTACTTCATTTTTTGATTTTTTTTTTTTTTTTTTTTTTTTTATTTACCAAAGTAGGTTTGTTAGATAATATTTTTGTTTATTTTTGTTATACAAATTTAATTCAAATATTGTTGAATGATGATTAAATCTAAAAATTTTGCATAAGTTTTATTTTCTCATACTTCTTAATTAAAAATAGACTCAAACCTAAAGAAATCCTTTCAAAATAAGGCAAATACATGAGTTTAATATGTATTTAATTTTATAGTCATGAAGCGAGCAAACATACCAACCTGTACAGTTTCCTTTTTGAAGGAATAAACAGCTGATTATACAAAGGAAATAGGAATATTTTTTTTATTTTTGAACATTTTAATGCAGTTTTGAAATGCTTCTGTCAAATACACAGACTAATGGATAACAAGAGAGTTAAGGAATGTTAACCAACTGAAGTCGCCGTACAATTCCTGCATGACCATTTTGGTAAATGTTTTGAAATTGATTTGGATGAACATCATTTACTTGTTCGATGTAACTATCTACATCATCGTTGTATTGTACACACAAATTATGTAAAACGCACGCTGCATAAATCATTGTACATATGTCTTTGTGGTCATGGAGGGGAACATCCCTCAGCCTTCGAAACCTCCCTTTTAGGTGCCCAAAGGCTCTCTCTACATTTTGTCGCACACTTGAAAGTCTTTTATTAAACTTAAGTTGTTGTCTCGTGAGATTGCCCAAATTCTTAAATGGCGTTATCAACAAATTTCTAAGGGGATAAGCATTATCACCTAGTATGAAATGGTTCTGTGTAAACATTTCTCCATTCTCAGCTTTCTGGTATAGTGAGGAGTTACGAAGTACACGTGCGTCGTGAACACATCCGGGCCAACCAGTGTAACAATTGATAATCTTCAGTGTATGATCCACTACAACCTGTAACTGTATAGAAGGGAATCCTTTTCTATTGTAGTAGTCTTCCCCCCCCCCCCCTTGCAAAGCTGATGATAGTTGAATGTGGGATCCATCAATGAATCCTATACCTCCTGGAATTCTGCAATATTCTTGAATTTCATCTGCCGTCTGTCTTTGCTGTTCTGGATTTGGCCATTTAATTATCGGCAATATTTAGAAAATTATACACATATAATTTAATATCACTTAATTCAAGCAATTTGATTGGCTGAATCATTCAGAGGAACATATACTATTTTGGATAACATAACTTGCCTACGTCACAATGAGTTACGTCAAAAGTATATTACTCCGCTTGACGTTACTTTTAAAATAATGATCAATTTGAAGTCTTTTTAATTTCCGGAGGAAATATTGTCTCATTGTCTACACTGGAATAAAATTATAAGGAATGAAGCTAATTTCAACTTATGTTATCCGATGTAACAAAACTTGGGTCAGTTTCGCGGTTTATAAAGCGTAAACTGTCCCAAGTTATGTTACATCGTATAACATAAGTTGAAATAAGCTTCATTCCTTAAATATTATATTCAATTATTATAAAATATTTCTATAAAAGAATATTTATAATGCAACATACGTTTTTGGGTATGAACTATCTTACCCTTTTGCTTAATTGACCTAGAGCTTTGAAAACATCCTTTATTATCCCATGCACTGTTGAAATTGATACTCCTAACAAATATGCAACCTCTGTCATAGATGTTGTATTTGCTAGGTACAAAAGCGCTACAAGCAGCTGTTAGTCGGGAGGGACTGTGGCTTGAGGACCGTGACCATTTCTTTGCAGGACAACAAACACTTCATTAAGAATGACAATGTATAATTCTCTACTTAGTCTGAAATGTACTCTAAAACCATCAATATATGTAGGATCAGACATCAACTGTACAACATTCACAACGTATCCTTCTACTTTCGGTACTCTGTCTCTCTTTAACTGGATCGCATGCAGTGTTTTTTCTGCATTAGAAGAAAATCTGCCCTCTAATTCTACGTCATCTAGTAAAGTTTCAAGAAACAAATAAAAAAAGTCCTCGATATCAGCCATGTTGGAGAAACTATAGTTCAACCAGAGAAAATTCGATCAACAAAGAAATGACGCATGCGCTTTGAGCTTACTGTAGTATTACGTTAGTTTGTGTTCGAAGTCTCTCCCTATATATATACATACTGTACTTGTACTTTCAGTTTCACACGACAATATAAACAAACAAAGGTTATTTCACCATTCTAATCGTTATCAAATTAATACATGATTATTTTTCGTGCTATATAATATAAAACATGATCGTGTTAACTTTTCAAATTATTGCACATCATTATTGACAACATTGACAATGAATTTGGTTTATGAACCATGCATATGCTAGGTAGGGCATGTCCCTTACAGTAAGTCATTAATCATTATCCCTATACTTAGTTTAAAGCCGCTTAACCCGAAACAGGCACATATTATCATCCACAATAAAAGTACCTCATTACATAGATAATGTATAAAAATAAATTATAAGATTGATTTAATAGTATATTACAACAATCCTTACATGGAAAATGCAGATCAAAAACCTTATTGACAAACAGTCGTTCCTTACGGAAGTTAAGATCTGGTGTGAAGTCAATTTTGAAAATAATAAGTTTATCGGATATATCTAATAATGAAGATAATTCAAACCCGAGCATTTTTTTTCTCTATTTAGTAGAATCCTTAGTCATAATATATCTTTTCAAAATTAAGAAATTAATTGAATATAATACATAGTAACTTTTATATTGAATATGCATATTTAAAGAATAAATGAAAAATCAGATATTTAAAATGATTTTTATGAAGGAGCAAAACTATTATCAATGTACTTTGTTGTGAGAAAAATGCTCGGGTTCGTTCTTCATGATATAAACATGCAAGCGATAAATTTATTTTTTTCGAAGGTGATTTCACGCGATATCAACAATGATTAACATAGGATAATTTTTTGTGTGACCGAACAAAAATTATTTTTTACTTTTGAATTTTGATATCTTTTAAAAGAAAAAGACTTTGGGGATATAATTTGACAAAAGTTCAAACAATTATATATATATATATTTTTAGCGATTAGAATCGGACCAAGCGACTTTAAACAATATCTCATTATTTTTAAGAGTATTATTTGCATTATACAGTAATATATATCTCACACTGGTGATGCAAAAAGTAAATCAGTATTATAAATATTCCTTTTAATTAAAACTTACAGTAGATGCTTTGGATGGTGATGTGGGATGTCTTATAAGAGCAAGATGTTATAGATCCCAGAAAAAGAATGAGTCCCCACATGATGTAGAGGTATGCCAACTAGAATTGTGTTTTTGACATGATATTTAATAATGATACCTAGTACAATTGTCCATGTTCAAGTTTATGATTGAATTTATAAATTTGTGTAACTGAGATTAATAACTATATGTTGTATTCAATTTTTAAAGAATATGTACATGCATGTTTTCTGTATATGTCAGCTCATGTGATAATTGTAGTTTAATGATATTCTAATACATGTATAATCATTTTTAGGTAGTAATAAAGAAAGGACCGGTGTTTAGAAGAGAAGACAGCAAGTGTTCCCGTGCAGTTGGTAGATCTGGATCTTGTGGACACATTGTTGGTGTATTGTACGCCATTGCTGATACGAAAGCATCCAATCTTAAGGCAGTTCCGACTGATTTTGCCAAGACTTCCTTACCACAAACGTGGCAAGTTCCAATAGGAAAACATTTTTTGGTCTGTCTGTTTAAGCAGTTTTACACTTACAAGATTACCGATGCTCAATCTAATTAAAAATATATGTTCCGATCCGCTTGCATACTCGCTTCAAAAACTAAAATAAGATGTTATATTCCCTTGCATATTGGCTATACAAACAGATGTTAGTAAAGCGAGTATAAAAGCGGATCTAACATCTGATTTTAAGAGGCCATGTCAGTAACCATTGAGTATTGTATATAAAGTGAGTGGAATGTGAAAAAAAAATATTTTGCTTTAATATTTGGTTGCATGGAGGTATAGATGAATGTCCTTTCAAACATAAATTATTTGGGTTACATCTTCCTTGTTACCATAGCAACGGTGATTTTAATGCTTGAAAAGTGTGAAATTTGATTATTGATAGCCCTGTCAATATTAATGACAGAATCAAACTACGTTTTTCTTAATTTCAATATATATGGGAGATTTAATTTTTCCCTTGTTTATTTTAAAGCATTGGGGCCTACTTTGCTTTGTTTCTACCAAATGCTGTAAAATCAACATGATTTTTATAAATAATTTACACAAAAACGCAACCAAACTCTATCAAAGTCATACATGCAATAGAAACTACGAGCTTTAAAGTTATAAATCCAATAATAAACCAGACGTCTCTGTCGAGACTGTAGCTCTACTGGTATGTACTTATCAAAAACCATTGCACTATTTTATGTATCTTTGTGTAGTCTACTTGTGTGCCAACTTATTTTGAAATCAAACTAGAACTGTAGAAGGAGTAGGAATTTCACATAAAATTCTATTTTTAGTAACCATGGTAACACCCTTCATCGAAATTAGAAACCGATGCACTATTCTATGTGGGTAGTATCTACCTTAGGGTAGAGTACTTGTGTGCCAAGTTATACTGAAATCAGACCAAAACTGTAGAAGTAGTAGAGTTTTTAAAGAATTTCACAGAAAATTCTATTTTTAGTAACCATGGCAACATCTTTCTATTTTTAGTAACCATGGTAACACCCTTCATCGAAATTAGAAACCGATGCACTATTCTATGTGGGTAGTATCTATCTTAGGGTAGTCTACTTGTGTGCCAAGTAATACTGAAATCAGACCAAAACTGTAGAAGTAGTAGATTTTTTTTTAAAGAATTTCACAGAAAATTCTATTTTTAGTAACCATGGCAACATCCTTCATCGAAATTGAAAACCGATGCACTATTCTATGTATCTTAGTGTAGTCTACTTGTGTGCCAAGTTATATTGAAATCAAACTAGAACTGTAGAAGGAGTAGCGTTTTTAAGGAATTTCACAGAAAATTCTATTTATAGTAACCATGGCAACATCGTTCATCAAAATTAAAAACCGATACACTTTTCTATGTATCTTAGTGTAGCCTACTTGTGTGCCAAGTTATATTGAAATCAGACCAAAACTGTGGAAGGAGTAGCGTTTTAAAGGAATTTCACAAAAAATTCTATTTTTAGTAACCATGGTAACACCGTTCATCGAAATCAAAAACCGATGCACTATTTTATGTATCTTAGTGTAGTCTACTTTTGTGCAAAGTTATATTGAAATCAGACCAAAACTGTGGAAGGAGTAGCGTTTAAAAGGAATTTCACAGAAAATTCTATTTTTAGTAACCATAGCAACACCGTTCATCGAAATTAAAAACCGATGCACTATTTCATGTATCTTAGTGTAGTCTACTTGTGTGCCAAGTTATATTGAAATCAAACTAGAACTGTAGAAGGAGTAGCGTTTTTAAGGAATTTCACAGAAAATTCTATTTATAGTAACCATGGCATCATCGTTCATCAAAATTAAAAACCGATGCACTAATCTATGTACCTTAGTGTAGTCTACTTGTGTGCCAAGTTATATTGAAATCAGACCAAAACTGAGGAAGGAGTAGCGTTTTAAAGGAATTTCACAGAAAATTCTATTTTTAGTAACCATGGCAACACCGTTCATCGAAATCAAAAACCGATGCACTATTTTATGTATCTTAGTGTAGTCTACTTGTGTGCCAAGTTATATTGAAATCAGACCAAAACTGTGGAAGGAGTAGCGTTTTAAAGGAATTTCACAAAAAATTCAATTTTTAGTAACCATGGCAACACCGTTCATCTAAATTAAAAAACCATGCACTATTCTATGTATCTTAGTGTAGTCTATTTGTGTGCCAAGTTATATTGGAATCAGACCAAATCTGTAGGAGGAGTAGCGTTTTGAAAAATTGTTTACAGACAGACGGACAGACGGACGCCGGACGCATTACTATTGCCTAAGCTCTTCTGGTCTCTGACCAGTAGAGCTTAAAATGGTAGTTGGGTACTCTATAGCAAATAATTTGATTTAGAATGTACCACAAATATGAAAACGCGTGAACGATTATCTCCCTTTTGTGGAACTCTCCTGTTGATAAAGAACAGAAAATTGCTGTTGCAGCAGAAGTCGGAGAAGATATACACCTTGTAACGATGTTTAAAGCAGGTCTTGTGCGGTTACAGAGGACATGACAGCATCAAAAGTTTGTAGGTGACTGAAAAGCACTATTTATAGTCCGAAATATCTTACGTTTTCCTGTTTTTTATAAAGTATTTCTATATTTTACGTGCTAGGAAAACGCCATAACCGGTGCCTTTAGGAAAACTGGGAATTCCAAGTAGACAGCTGGTAGAATCAGCATTCTCGGGTGTATTTTCGATACTTGCAATTACTTGTCAAACTCACAATTTATCAATAGTACAATGCCTCTAGTACTTACCAATATAGTTTTTATGGTTTGTTTGTAAATATATGATCCATGATCCCATGGAAACATTTTCTCTGACTGTCGAAATTTGTTTTGATTTCGTGCCTTTACAAATTAAAAAAATATACAAGTCCTGTATCGAAATGATGAGTGATTATTTTCTTTTCATTGATATTGTCAAGTGCCATTGATAAATTGTATCAACGGCATTTAAGGGACAATATCCCTCTGCTCCAAATTTCACGCCTTTTTTGTTTTTTTTTTTAATCCAGACATTGATTTTCAGCAACAAATATAGCATTAAATTCAAATGGAAAATAGTTTGAAGTATGAAGCGTTGCTTACTTTTTCAGAAATGAATAATATGTCAAATCATGATGTGAAGAAAATTTGGGATGATAAATAGAAAGATTTACTATTTTATATCTCACAATTAATTTAGAAATATGAGGTAAATTTAAAAATAATATCTACTCTCATACCTATCTCATTCCCAACAGAAAACATATTGAAACGCTGCTTTTTAAATCACAATTTCAAATTGTTTTATGTGCATGTAAAATAACACACATCCATAAACAAAAGTTATCATTCCATTATTGCCCTTAAAAATTTAATATTTTTTAATGAAACAAAATATTAATTAAAGGTTTATAGTAAGTTTGTAAACAGGTCTAAAATATTTTCAGGAGAATCATGATGATAATCAGTTGCAATGTGAACTAACAAATAACCTTGAAGTACAAGCAGATCCAATTAATGTGGAACAAATGAAGGTTTGTATTGAAATTTTTACATGTACTGAATTATTATGCCCAAAGAGCATGAACATATTTTTGTTTGTCCTTTCTGTCTATCTGTTGTCAGCTTTAACCTTTACTATGACTTTTGAACTGTGAGATCATATTTTTATACATAATCCACTAATTAAGTTCTTTTAATTACACCAACATCAGTAACCTTTAGATCTTGATCTTTTTGCTAAAACTAGCTTTTCTATATTTGTTGACGCTGGGGGCATACTGTTTCACAAACTTATTTTGCTTTAAATTACTTTTAGCATCAGCTTGTTTATTATAAAGAATCATCAACTATATGCAGTAGGGTCGTGTAAATTTGTAAACAGATATGAAATACTTTCAGGAGAATCATGATGATGATAAGTTGCAATGTGAACTACCAAATTACCATGAAGTGCAACCAGATTCAAAGCATATGGAACAAACAGAGGTTTGTACTGAATTTTTTTTACATGTACTGATTTGTTTAGAACTACTTTGAGCATCAGCTTGTTCATAAGAGCCCAGCCTCAAGGAGTACCAGTAATCACTTTGTTCATCCATTTCTTTGTCAAGAGATAACTCGAATGCTATGAAACTTCAAACTTGAAAGGATTGTGACTCAGTAACTTAAATCCATTTGACCTGTGAACTTCATACTTTAAACCCAGACAAGAAGCCTAAAATGGGCCCATATTGCTCACCTGGTCTTCTGTCAAAGGTTGTTAAAGACTGATATCATGAGGCACATTTGTGTCATCTAAGCTGTGCTTTTGAAGCAGGTATTAAATGCATTTCAGATAAGACAATTTTATTGAAGTCTACTGTGACCTTAGCATTGAAGTTTGACATTGAGTTAGGGTCATGTCACACCACCTTATCATTAGGAGCATTGAATGCCAAGTATGAAGTTGTTCCATGAGGCATACAGAAATACAGACCTTAAAACTCCCTCGTAAAAGGCGACTAAATGGGGCGGTCCTTCGGATGAGACCGTATAAACCGAGGCCCCTTTGTCACAGCAGGTGTGGCACGATAAAGATCCCTCCCTGCTCAAAGACGTAAGTGCCGAGCATAGGCCCAAATTTGCAGCCCTTCACCGGCAATGGTGACGTCTCCATATCAGTGAAATATTCTGGAGAGGGACGTTAAACAGTATACAATCAATCCATCAAATTTTACCTTGACCTTGAAGGTGCGACTTTGGCTCAGGGCTGTGACACACTGTCTCAGCATGAGTAACATTTTTGTCAAAATGAAATTGTTTTAAAAGAAGTTGTTAGTTGGATTGATTTTGTATCTTTTGTAGGTGGAATCAACTTCAGACGACAACTTTTCCAAACACCTTGTGAAAGTCATCTGAATGCCAGGATTCTCAAGAGCATGAAGATAGTCCATTACATAGAAGGAAAACCTTGATTATGTATCTTGATGCCATTGGTGAAAAGGCAGAGGTCTGACACTGACTGTGAAGAAAATGACTTGACAGCTGAAAGGAACAAGAACAATTTGAATCAGATTTCTGATAGGGCTCTTAAAGCAGTGAACTAAAAACATTTTCTTACTAAGTTTAAAATATTGATATCAAAGTTTTTGAAAGAGGGATAAGGAATCACCCTGTTTGTTTGTCCATCTGTCTGTGGACAACACTTAGATTATACTATTGTAGCTCTAGTTGGTTAAAATAGATAATATATAAAATTAAATGTGTCATACTTCTTGTTTACTGTGCATAAATGTACTTTGAAGAACATACTGTATAAGTAGAATTTTTAGCGAGGATTTAATTTTGGCATTACATGTATTAGAGAGGGTGCTGACATCGCTAAAATTGAATATTTTTAAAAATTAATGTCTTATTATTTGTAATAGCTTCTTTAGTTAACATTTTAAAATCGCTAAAATTACTTCTGGCTAATAATAAAATACCAGACTTTGGTAGAAATCGCCAAATTTGCATCTCGCTTAAATTTCCACTTATACGATATATTATTATTTCTAGCAAAAGATTTCTGTAGAATATATGACTGTACACTTCAGAAAAAAATTCAATCTTAGTATCAGGTACAAGATATGCTGTAATGGTGCCTAGTTGTGTCGCCTGCATAGCAAGGGGACTCTTAGGGCTCTTCGTAATTTCTTGTCTGTCTGTCTGTCTATCCATCGGTCCATCTGTCTAGCTGTGCAAACATGTACGGTCCATATCTTTCTTACGAAGAAACATTAGAATCTATTTCTCCATACAAAGATTGCTCATGACCTAAGAGTGTGTCATGACCTTGACTCAAGGTCATTTGGGGAAGTTCAAGGTCACTGGAAGAAAAATTTCATTATTTATGTCCGTTCCATATGTTTCTTATGGATTTACTTGGTAAGTTCCCATTTAACAAAAAGATTCCTCGTGACCTAAGGGTGTAAAACAGGAACTTGTCTTGAGGATGTGTCATGACCTTGACCCAAGGTTCTTTGTGTCAGTTTAATGTGACTGAAAGGAAAAACCTCATAATTTGTGCCTGGTCCATATCATTCATATTGATAAACTTGGATACTATTCTTGTTTACACAAAGATCACTTATGACATAAGGGTGTAATGACTTTGACCCAAGGTCAATTGTCCAAGTTCAAGTGCACAGACAGTACAAAAATTATAATTCCTGTCTGGTCCATATCTTTCTTAAGGATAAACTTGGAAGGTTCCCACTTTACACAAACATTGCTTTGACCTGAGAACTTGACATGAATTTAAACCAAGGTCATTTATGCAAGTTCAAGGTCACTAACAAAAAAAATTCATAATTCATGTGTGATCCATACATTCAGTCTATTTTTAGCTCACCTGGGCCGAAGGCTCAAGTGAGCTTTTCTGATCACATTTTGTCTGTCGTCCGTCTGTCTGTCTGTCTGTCTGTAAACTTTTCACATTTTCAATTTCTTGTCAAGAAACACTGGGCCAATTTTGACCAAAAAAGGGTTGGGTCATTAAAAAATCTTCTCAAGAACCACTGGGCCAGTAAAGCTGAAACTTATGTGGAAGCATCCTGGGGTAGTGTAGATTCTACATTGTTCAAATCATGACCCCCGGGGGAAGGGCGGGGCCACAATGGGGAATCAAAGTTTTACTTAGAAATATATAGGAAAAATCTTTGAAAATCTTCTTCTCAAGAACCACTGGGCCAAAAAAGCTTAAACTTATGTGGAAGCATCCTGGTATAGTGAAGATTCTAAATTGTTCACATCATGACCTCCGGGGGAATGGCGGGGCCACAATGGGAAATCAAAGTTTTATATAATTATAATTGTATACTGTTTAACGTCCCTCTCCAGAATATTTCACTGATATGGATACGTCACCATTGCCGGTGAAGGGATGCAAATTTTGGCCTATGCTCGGCACTCAGGGCCATTGAGCAGGGAGGGATCTTTATCGTGCCACACCTACAGTGACACGGGGCCTCGGTTTAAACGGTCTCGTCCGAAGGACCGCCCCATTTAGTCGCCTTTTACGACAAGCAAGGGGGTACTGAGGACGTATTCTAACCCGGATCCCCACGGGACTCAAAGTTTTATATAGAAATATATAGGAAAAATCTTTGAAAATCTTCTTCTCAAGAACCACTAGGCCAGAAAAGCTGAAACTTATGTGGAAGCATCCTGGTATAGTGTAACTTCTAAATTGTTCAAATCATGACCCCCGGGGGAAGGGCGGGGCCACAATGGGGAATCAAAGTTTTATATAGAAATATATAGGAAAAATCTTTGAAGATCTTCTTCTCAAGAACCACTGGGCCAGAAAAGCTGAAACTTTATGGAAGCATCCTGGTATAGTGTAGATTCTTAATTGTTCAAATCATGACCCCTGGGAGAAGGGCGGGGCCACAATCGGGTATCAAAGTTTTATATAGAAATATATAGGAAAAATCTTTGAAAATCTTCTTCTCAAGAACCACTGGGCCAGAAAAGCTGAAACTTTATGGAAGCATCCTGGTATAGTGTAGATTCTTAATTGTTCAAATCATGACCCCTGGGAGAAGGGCGGGGCCACAATCGGGTATCAAAGTTTTATATAGAAATATATAGGAAAAATCTTTGAAAATCTTCTTCTCAAGAACCACTGGTCCAGAAAAAGTGAAGCTTATGTGGAATCATTCTGGGACAGTGTAAATTCTAAATTGTAGGAATCATGACCCCCGGGGGAAGGGTGGGGCCATTATAGGGAATCAAAGTTTTACATAGAAATATATAGGAAAAATCTTTGAAAAATTTTCTTCTCAGGAACCACTGGGCCAAAAAAGCTGAAACATATGTGCCCATGGAAGGATCATTGGGTAGTGTAGATTTCAAAATGTTTAAATTATGATCAGTGGGGTAGGGTGGGGATGCATTATGTATAACACGGGGAAATCTGGTAAAGAACAGAATGGTCAAAGCTTCTCAGGTGAGCGATGTGGCCCATGGGCCTCTTGATTTAGGCTGTACCTTCGTTTCAATTACATGTATAAAAAAAAAAATAATGAGCAATTACATTTGCACTAAAATGTTTTAGCTTTTCTCTCTTCTCTTAGATCCATAAAATATTCATGATTCAGCCCTTCTGAAAAACCCAGCGGGGGGGGGGGGGTGTTATTTTGTACCATTTGGACAGTTTCTAAGTTATAAGTAATATTCTTAATCACAAAAGGGGCCAGTCTTGTATTCCACCATATTTCAAGTTAAAGACTACGCCTTGTATTTCCTACAAATATACATCGACCATTGCTTCCAAACTTTTCAATTACAAGAACACTTTACATGGCCTGGATATCGACTATCTGAAAAATAATCCTCTTTCGTGTTCATGTTCTTCTTCGCCCTATAACTATAGTCCTGCTGGACACGTTATTACAGGTGACGTAAAAATAGTTCGTAATGAAGACCTTAGATCACTTATTTTAAAAGGTACTAAATATAGGGAACCCCGATCCTTCAACTGGCGTCGGAATTTCATAAATATTATGGATTCTGTTGAAAATAACGCCAGACGATGGGCTAGATATGAAAAAAAAAGACATTGATACCTTGTCAGAATGGATTAAATGTATCAGATCCATGTTAAAGTCACGTATTAAAAGATTGAGGGGCAAAATGAAAACCATATATCCCTCTGTGTTCAATAAACCAGAAGTGAAAAAAGAATTAGATAGATTACACGATCAATACGTACTGGTTCCTGCCGACAAAGCAGGTAAAACATTGTCTTCGTTTGTAAGGCTCATTATATAAATTGCATTCTAGAAGAACTTGGATTTAATTCTACAAGTGGTAATCATACATATACATATACTTCTCTTTCTAAGGAAGAAATTCTTCAAAATCACCTGTCAGTTTTGAATACTTTTAATATTCCACAGAGCCAAAATGAATTTGAACTACCTTATATATATTGGATTCATAAACTTCATAAGAATCCCTACAAACAAAGATACATTGCAGGTTCCAGTAAATGTTCAACCAAGCCTCTTTCGTTACTTCTCACTAAAATATTGACAGTAGTGAAGGAAAAACTTCAAGAGTACTGTGCAACTATATATTCAAGAAGTGGTGTAAATCAGATGTGGATACTTAAAAATTCTAAAGAACTTTTGGACAATTTGAAATCACAAGTCTTTACAAAAATCAACAGCATAAAAACTTACGACTTTTCAACTTTATACACAACAATTCCCCACGACAAATTAAAATCCAGGCTTTTTGATATCATTGACAGCTGCTTCTTCAACAAAAATGGAACTCGTAAGTTTATAATTACTTACCTCGTCATTGGTCACTTGAAAAATTATTTTGTTAAAACAGATTCTGATTGCACACATAAGTACTCTGAAGTTGACATCAAGAAATTGCTTGAGTTTCTGATTGACAATATCCATGTGGTTTTTGGAGACCAGGTATTCCAACAATCTATTGGAATTCCCATGGGTAACAAATTGCGCTCCGTTATTAGCAGACTTATTTTTATATTCATATGAAGCAGACTTTATGCAAAATCTTTTACGTGAAAAGAAGAAAACACTTGCTGTGGCCTTCAACTCGACATCTAAATATATCGACGACGTATTGTCAATTAATAATGATTACATTGTATTTCCATTCCTACGTCGACACGATATATCCTGGTGAGCTTGAGATAAAAGATACCACAGAGTCCGACACTTCTGCTTCATACTTGGATATTTTACTTGAAAAAGACACTAATGGCAATCTAACAACCAAGTTATATGATAAACGTGATGACTTTAACTTTTCTATCGTCAACTTCCCTTACTTATGTAGCAATATACCTTCATCACCTGCATACGGAGTATTTATATCTCAGTTGATTCGATACGCAAGAGCATGCTCTACGTATGAACAATTTCTTAAACGAGGTAAATTATTGACAAGCAAGTTGATGAAACAAGAATATCAACAGTCTCGTTCAAAGTCA